TTTCTCCTTTTTTCTCTTTTTCTCGAACGATTAGGCCAGTTCAGAAAAATATATTTATTCTTTCTTCTCTTTTTTTCTTTTTTCTATCCATCGTCCTCTCATCTGGGGTTTCGTCGTCGGTTGTCTGTGTTTAGGTTAGGAGATTAGAGCCATCTTCTTTCGGAGATGTTTTTTTTCTTTCTAAAAAGAACTTTTTTTCTCGAAGGTGGAAATAAATTGCTTTTGGGAGTAAAAAAATAGCTTTTCGTTTGTGTGGAAAGGAAACGGGGAGAAGTTGTGTTTCCCTTCTCTCTCTCTCTCTCTCTGGAGAGAGAGGAGGAGGATAAGTCGTTCCATGGATTATTATGGATTCTTGGAACAGCGAGTTTTCACGGGCATCACTGCGTCCGCCAGTGACATCCTGAATGCATCGATCGCGATGAATTATACACTATGAGCTGCACACGCAGGAACAAACTATCTAAAGACAAATATTGACCCATTTCGGGCTTCCAGCCTTTCACGGGCGCCGTTCTGGCTGTAAACTGGTAGAAAGGGAGAAGAATTATTCGAATTTTGGATAGGTTAGGTTTTTCTGTTATAAATCACATCAATTTTGGATGGATGGATGGACTATTTCAACTTGAGAGGAGCCATGTTTTCAGGAAAAATTTTCTTCACTTCCAGATAGTTTAGGTTTTTAGAAGAAAAAAACTTAATTCACTTCTAGATAGTTTCTGTTTCAAGAAAAAAAAAAGAAGTATTGGAACTTCATATATGTATGTGCCAGGTATCGTGGACAAAAAATTCTTCGAATTTTTGACAAGCTAGGATTCTCGCAAAAAGAATAGAAAAAAGAAAACGAAATATTTCAATTGCAGATAGGTTAGGTTCAAGCTACTCCAACCTCGACGAATTAGGCATTTCTTCATCTGTTAATTAAATAATGGCCTAACGGCTGAAAGCTGGTTTAATTAATTAGAAAAGGAGCAGCGAGAAGAGCGGCTCCTTTGTGAATAGACTGGAAACGCCGTGGAATGGGCCGAGCGTTTTTCACGTCGAGGCACTAATCCTAACATTAAGTTTTCACGACAAGACGCATGGGTAATTAGCTAATGATATGTGAGGACGTGCTTAATCGTTAATGAGAGGGGTGCGTTTTGACGCCTGAGAAGCGTATACGGCCCTGTGCTTACTAGCGTAATCTCTAGTGAAGGTACGTCGATCTTGTCCCACTAAAATGTCCACCAATCACTCGTCCAGTCTCTCTTTTCAAATCAAATACGAGTTAGATTAGGTTAGGTCCCGAGTTAGGTCCAAGTTAGCTCTCAACTAGGCACCAATTAAATTACCACTAGTTTTCCCGTTCAATTTACCTTGGATTCTGCTTATAGATTGTGTTAGGTTAGATTAGAGTAGGTCTGAAGGTTAGGTCTCAGCTAGGTATCAATCGAAACTATTATACGTTATATAAATTTCTACGTAATTTAAACTAGGTTCGACTTAGGCATGATTAGGTTAGGTTAGGTCACAAATTAGCTCACGATTAGACGTTCGTCAAATTGCAAGTTACGCCTAGGTCTAAACTAGGCACCAGTAGAGCTACGATTAATTCCCTATAGAGTTTAACTTAGGCTTAGGTTAGGTCTGAGTTAGTGTCTTAGGTTAGGTCGGAGCTAGGCTGTGATTAGGTCTCTCTGGAGTTGTTCTTAGGCCCGTTCTAGGCTTGAGCTTGGTTCTATAGAGTACCCTGTGTCTCTCTGTCCCCCGTAAGAATTTTTCCAAAATAAAAAATGGCGTCTTATCCTCTACATCTTTTCATTCTTTTTGTCACAATAGTAGGCGATTTTTTAAAAGAATCTTTCGTTTAAATTTGTTAACTGAACGAACGAGTGATTAGGGTGGCCATACTAGTGGTGAATTGAGCCTCATGATCGAAGCCTGCAACGGACGATAGTCTAGAGCCAATGATATCACTTAGGTAGAAAATATGTTCGTATTACATCTCTCCCTTTCTCTCGTTTTAATCAAAATACCAAATCCTCTCTCTCTCTCTCTCTTTCTCTCTCTCTCATTCTCTCACTGTTTGCGCTTTGTTGACTCTTCTTTTTTTTCTTTTTTTTTTGTTCTCTGAATTGTTTAGTGTGTGCACGCGCTGTCACACGATGATTAAACGCTCGATGCTCTAGCTACTGAAAAAGATCTCTAACGATAGAATCAACTCTCGCTATATATGATATATTTATATAGGTGATATGTACCAAATGGAAGATTCATGTTTCAGCCTGCCGTTTGCCGCGGGACGAGCACGGACTGTGCCGTTTCTCTTTTCGTTAAGCTCGTTCGAGAATTTTTTCGCGAGAGGCTTTCGATGCCCTGGAGAACAGGTACAGGCTATGTTAGAATAGCTCTAGGACACTGGATCCCAAGAAGAAAAAATATATCTCTGGAGATTTTTAAAATTTCAAAGATTTCTTCCAATTTTCGAAGCTCTCCTGCAAATTTTCAGAATTTCTCTCGTTCTCGAAAGTAACGAGCCCAATGTTCAGAATCCTCAGAATTTATAAAATTTTCCGAATTCCAGCTAATTCTTCGAACTTTCAAACGTCCCGTAAATTCCTCGAATTGTATAAATTTTCAAAATTTCCATCTCTGTGCATAATTACTTACTTGAACCTCGATTTCTCTTTTTTTTTCCAACGATTTCGCTTCTGGAGAATTTAA